AAACTACTACAAGGGGTTATATACGGTTACATAGGGATAATGGAAAAGAACATGGAAACTATTGCAATGGGTTATATAGGGTTCAGGATTTAGGCCCCCCGATTGGGCATTTATGCTGACCTTGGCACTCCTGAATTTCGCCAGGAGAGCTCTTCACCATCACAGACAACCCCATGACAGGCCGGCTGAGATGCGCTCATGGGTTCAGATGCGAAGCAGCTCTATCATGCCCATCTGCAGGCTTGATGGTTGGCATCTTGGCAACAGTCCTTGTCCAGTCATCCTCGACGACGCCTGGCTGCGTTCGCAGCCCCTGATGGCTTCGGGATTCAGGGTTTGGTTCAGGGTTTATGTCTTAAGTATAGGGTCAGGGTTTGTGAAGAGCTAGGCTTTGCCTCATTCATGAGAGGACGATTTCCCGGTGTGGGGGAATGGATTATCGTTTCTGGGCCCTTATTGTGCATGATGTGGCCTTAGAGAGTAGCTGCCCTTACAGGGGTCTCATTGAGGTGCTGTTACAACTCCTATTGCCTCTTGCGATAGCTGAGACAAGGGGCAGTGGGCTTGGCTGTAACAAAGAAGGCCTTGAGACCATGAACCCCAGAGCTTGACTTGAAAACGCAAAGCCCTAAACCCCCAACCCTAAAAACCCTAAGCCCCAAATCCTAGTCCATAAGACCTGAACTAAATATTTTGTTCAGGAGCCCCCACACCCGGACCACGCGAACTGTAGTCTAAACTCCTTTAAGGGGGTTATATAGGGGATTATTCAGGGGATTTCAGGGGACTATTATAGGGGTTATGAGGGGGGATACTAGGAGTTTAGACCCTAAACCCTAGACCCTATATTATAGGGATTATTAAGCGGTATACCGGGAGTTTAGACTATAGCCCATATGGGAATTATATTTGCTACCAAAAGCACGCAGCTGAGGAGCACCTCGATCGTAGTGGGCCTGGTCGGCGCTGGACAGGTGCAAGCTGCTCTCTTTGCTGAAAGAGTTTAGGGTTTAGGGCTTTAGAATTTAGAGTTTGTAGGGTTTAGGGCTTATAGGGGGGGGTTTAGGGTTGTGAGTGTTCCTCCTGTTCCTCCTCCTCCTCCTCCTCCTCTTCCTGGTCCCTCTCCTTGAGCTTATGCTAGGTATTAGACGTCTGTGTGGATAATCCTGATGATAGTTGCCCAAATCGCTTGATTGCAACAACGACATAGTGCTGTGAGGTTTACCCCAATCAAGATGAAGCTTTAAATTCAACCCAGGGGTTTGTTTTATTATTGCGAACCCATCAGTCTTTTTGTTTTCCAGTCAGTTTGTTATGCATATGGGGATTTCTCCAACTTATTCCGGTTGTGTAGTCTTTCTTGGGCCTTCCTGTCACACGTTTTGGGATGCATAGAGGCATCGTTGTTCGCTGAAATTTCCTTTTAGCAGTTGTTTCGGAAGATTGTGACACCTCGCAAAACTGTGCCCTGGTGCGTGGCCAGAAAAGGTACAATCCGAAGTCTAGGCAGCACAGACTGACTTCGAGAAATCTTGCAAAATTAGCTAGAAGCTCTAAACCGACTGTTAACAGCTATCCGCATGGCAGGTAAGCGTCCACAATGCGATCCCTATCATCATGGGTGCCACTGGTCCCAGTGCAGAAGGGGTGTTGTTGGTAGGACGGTGGGCATTTTGAAGGCTTCTGATAGGGCGTATCACTGACTGTTAGTGAGTGGGGGCTGATCCGAAGTTTCGGGTTTAGGAGTACGGACTAGTTCGCGTCAGGAGCGGCGCTAAGGATTGTAGGAGATGGATGTTCCTAGTATTTGGAAGCCAAGGCGAACATTGGAACGTCGGTCACCAACACCATTGCTGCAGCCTCAGCCATGAGGTCATGGTTCAGGCTAGTGCAAGCTTACTGGATGGACAGTAGAGGTGAGCAAGTTGCAGTCTAGGTGATTGGGGTTCAGATTTTGTGATTCCGGTTTGTGGTTCGAAGTTGGGGTTCTGGGCTATTTCTCAACAGCAAGCTCATTCCGCAACATGAACAGCTGCCAGTGAATCAGTTTTGTGGTTTTATTTTGAATGGGATACTAATAGTCCCCAAGGATATGGACAACAAAATGGAAACCCTTACATCATTGGAGACCATAGGCTAGATTCTATTGGAAGCACTTATGAGCAGCCTTGTTAAGTTAGGCGTACTGTAGTCCCCAATAAATAAAGAAAGAGTAGGATTGTACGTACCTTTTGGATCTCATATATTGGAAGAGGGCTATAAGCTTGCACGGTTTGGGGTTTAGGGTGTGGAGTTGAGGGTTTATGGTACAATCACCCTAAACCCCTAAACCCTAAACCCAAAACCCTCAAGATCTAAAGTTTTACTCAAACTACTCAGGTGTCCATGGCGCATGCCGGCGAGCGCATGGAGCTTGAGCGCGCCTTCTCCGGGGCAACCGTTCACGATATGTTCAATATGTGACTCAGCGGTTTAGGGTTTAGGGTTTAGGGGTTTAGGGTTTAGGGTCTAGGGACTCAACATGGTGAGCTTGCCCTAAACCCTACTATTGGGGTTATATAGGGTTACATAGGGTCATAGAGGGGTTAACCAAGAAGTCCCATGAGCATAGTTCCCCTTAAGTATAGGGTCCAGGGTTTGGGGTATAGAGCCTGTATTGTTGGGGTTATATGTAGGGTTTTATGGGGTTATGTATGGCTATATAGGGATGATGGAAGAGATCATGGAAACTACTATTTAGAGTTTATGTAGGGTTTATAGTCCCCTTTAGGTAGATAGACATGGGGTTTAGGGTTTAGGTACAGTCCCCCTTAAGTAGATAGAACATGGCTTTGGGTAGATAAAAAAAGATCCCCGTGTATGCCATATTTATTTGCTTAAGGGGGACAATACTCATTGGACTTCTTGGTTCTGCGTAGGGAATACAGGAAGGGATCTCTGTGGTGGTCCTTGTATACTTCATTACGAAGACTTAAACTAACCCGTCCCTACGTTCTAAACTAACCGTCGGTAAATTTGACTTTGGGGTTTCGTGCTTAGGCATGCTGAAAAAATATCTATTGTCAGTATAAGGGTTACCAAGGGACCATTAAGGGTAGACATTGGGGTCCTTTTAGTATAGTCCTAATAAGGACCCATGCCCAGTAAGTCTGTGGGAAATATGGGCTGTAGCGCCTATACCCTCAGCTAGGGTCCTTAGGGCACACACGTTTGGAGAAAGCCCAAGACTACGTGTCCCTTTACTGGGTTGCGCTTAAGGAAGCTAAGTTACAATCATGGGTATATGCATATATATACAGTAATCAGTATGGTTTGCCCAATAGAGTGAATTACTTTAAGTTCTCTAACAGCAACCTAGTTTATGCTCCTAATGAAATTTGTCGTGTTTAGCATTACACTTATTGGAGTCCCAAACCCTTTATTACTCTACACCTTATACACCCTCTATAGTCCCCTTAAATAGGAGCACTACGGGTCCCTATGAAGAAAATCCTATTGTACATCCTTACATCTCCCTGTCTCTTCCTAGCATTTCTAAGGGCAGCCCCATCTTTTGAAAAGCATCATACCCCTTCTATCTGAGGCTGAGCGTTTTGGTCTTGTTGCCGGAGGAGGTGACACGGCGAATCTTAAAATCTAAGCTTTGAACCCTGAAACGTGCCTTACGCCCCAGACCCGAAAAAGTCTCTGGATTGTAGAGAAGTACATACGAACTCGATCCGTGTTAAAATGCTTGCATATGCGAGAAACACTGTTAGATCTGTTTAGGGCTTGACTCATGCTTGGTTGGGAAAGGGGCAATGAACTAAGCCACGTGTGAGTCAATGCCTTGTGCATCGGTGCACTCAGGTTATCCTCGGCGCCATCACCGGAGACGGCGGCATTCTGTACTACATCTCAAAGGGAATCACCGATGCAGCCATGGGTGGTGGGGGCGGTGACATCACCTTTACATCTCCCACCAAATTCATCGTCAGCTCCTTGACAGATGTGCTTGTAGAATGGACCCCCAATTGGCAAGCCCATATATGAACGCCTCTGTAGCCCACTCCGACCTTTCTTGCCACCAAGACACCCAAGACCGCTAAACCCTCAGCCCTCATCCGTTAACCCCAAACCCTTCATTCCTTACCAAGGAGGTTGCAAGGAGGATCCAAAAAATAGGTTTTAGGCAAAACCATATCGCTCCCGATAGAACCCGTATCAAATTCCTCACTCATATAATCCTAAGCAATCTGATTTTGAAACCAAGCCCTAAACCCGTTCTGGTGGAAGCCCCTTGGCTTCAGCAACCAAAGGATTCCTCAATCAGGCCCTTTGGCCTTACAGGGTCTAGAACTCAAGGCTTAGGGGATAGGGTTCATAGGGCTTATGGTTTAGGGTTTAGGGGTTATATATGAGAAAAGAGGGATCATGTAGCGGAATTTTGGGGCCCTAGACCCACATCCGCAAGCGCTTACACAATGGAGAGGCTTCAGGGTCAAGGATTTGAGGCTTAGTTTTTTGGGGTTTACGAAGTGGAACATCAGCATCCCAACCCTACACCCTAAACCCTAAGCCCCTGAACCCCCTAAACCCCAGGCCCGTTGACGGATGTCTTTGTGGACCCGAACAAGGACGTTACCAAGGCCCTTTCCCTGGGTCCGCCCCAGGCCACTGCCCAACCGGGGTTACATAGGAGTTCAGTGTTTAGGGCTTGGGGTTTAGGGTTTAGGGCTTAGGATTTATGGCTTAAGGCTTAGGGTTTAGGGTTATATAGGGGGTTCTATAGAGGTGTGTGCATATATCTATATATGTCTTGCGTTTATGTTGGGATAATGGAAAATAAAATGGAAACTACTATTTAGGGTTCAGGGCTTAGGGCTGAATCCCTACGAGTAGAAGCTGCCAGTGCAGACCATATCATCGTGCCGGGAATTCAGCAAATTTGACAGTGGTCGGATCAGAAGTGATTCAGAGGGCTCAACATGCGGGGTAAAGGAAGGTGGGGTATTGGAAAAAGCCCCAGCATAGTGGAGTATACATATACATATATATATATGTGTGTGTGTACATATAACGGGTCCTTTAACCCGCCTACCTGCATCCCACTTTTTTAGCCCCCTGAGCGATGTTAATGGGCTTAAGATCTTTGTGTCATTATTCCACTTTAGCAAAGTGCTTGTCACTGGTGTCACTATTAGCATGGCTTTGACTATTGTTCCCCAGCCTTGCAGTGAACTTGCTTCATTGTGAGAAGTTAGGAGGACCCCCCCACCCTGTAATAGTCACTATAAAGGATAATAAAGATGATATTTGGGTCCTACTATTCCTACTATACCACGATTATAGGGTGGGGGGTCCTCCTAAGTGAGAAGTCGGAAGTCCATGTTCTCCTCAACCACCCTACGATGCCCAGCCCCAGAGTGTCCCTACAGTGCCCAAAGTGACGCACAGTGTCCCAGCCCAACAGCAAAGCATCCATGCAGTGCCCAACCCCGAGCGTCCACGGAGAAAATCCATGTGGGGACATCAAGTTGCAGATGACCGGAATCGGTAAAGTTTTGCTTTCGGGAGCTCTTTTCTTGCTTGGCAAAGCGCAAGCTCAATCAAGAATCCTACAAGTTCGTAGGGGTAGATGTGGGCAGAAAAAGGGGGCGCGAGATAGCTTCAAACGGGAGAGGGCTTTCAAAGTCGCATCTTGAGTGACCCATCAAAAATGAGCTCATGCTTCACTAAAAAAAACTTGGGCGGGAGCGTGCATAGACTCATGGACGACATTGGCGAGAGATGCTACATGAGAGAAAGGCTTGAAACGTTTCATCTTTGCAAAAACATATGGATACGGCCAGGACAAACCTTTCAAACAGCTTCATAGACAGAATCAGCACAACAGGGAGGGGTTCCAAACTCTGAGCTCAACGAACAGGTGCCGATTCACATTCATGCTTCATGCAACAAAAGGTGGTGGTGGGCAGCCAAGACATGTATGCTGAGTAGTATGCATTCACCATACAGGCGCGACCTTTTAGCTAGGAAGACCTCTTGAAAATTCTATTGCTGGGGTATGAGTGCAGTTTTGGCAATGTGATCGAACCCAAAACCCTAAACCCATTTTCCAGAATTTCCGCCGGCACAAGATTGAGCATGCACGCCTCAACTCAAATCTCTTATTTCAACCCTGAGAAAAGTACGGGAAGTTCAAACTTGCTCATGTGGGTAGTTCCCAACATTAGGGTCCTTTTTCGGTACCCCCTAAATATTAGGTGCCGTAATATAACCTATAGATAACCACCCGGGCCCCCTAAGTTTGCGAATAACCCATGTACACAGAAGTGCCGCACCACCCAACCTTGGGGTGGGGTTTAGGGTTTATAGGGTTTAGGGGTTACAGGGTTAGGGTATAGGGTTTAAAGGGTATAGGATTTAAAGGGCTTAGGGTATAGGGTTTAGGGTTGAGGGTATGGGATTTATACAATTTAGGGTATAGGGTTCAGGGTTCAGAGCATTGTCTTTACTCCTGTTGCTAGTTGCTACTGCCAACTTAAGTAACTCGCAGGCCTCCAGAGGCTTAGAAGCATCTAAATGCAAGATCCCGTAGGATGGTATGGGGGTTTCCCAAAATTAGGGGCACCTTTTTGGGGATCCCCAAAACAAGGTCGATATTGGGGCCTCCTTATTTTGGGAAACTACCATGTGAGCAATCGCACCTCGACTGCACAGGGGTCAAAGGGAGCTTCGAAACAGAATCCCTCTATAATAGTGACTATAAGGGATAATAGGGATTATATTAGGGTCCTCGTATATTCTTACTATACCACTATTACAGGGTGGGGGGTCCCCCTAACCTAGTACTTGCTTTGCATGGGGAAATCTAACTTTTGGATCGGGCCCTGGATTGCAGGCTACTGCTATGCCGGCGGGAATGACGGGCTGCCCGACCGACATGGACTGCAGCAACTACTTCTGCGTCTCTTCGTCCATGAGCAAGAACTGGAAGAAGGTGGGCATTTCTCAAAATGATCCTTCTTTAGTTCAGAGTTTATTCCAGAATGGGTTCCTTCTGTTTTAAGGTTCCCTTTTCACAAGAGACAGCTTGCGAACTGAGGCGTAGATGTTGCAGCTAATACCCCAATCCTCTGTGTATGTGGGGGAGGCTCTGACGTGCTTAATTTCTTGGGCTTATGGTGACCGGGGGCTGCAGTGCAAAATGTAGCCGCTCCGAATCCGGGTGTTGAGGTGGACAAGACTGGCTACGGAAACCTCCAGACATGCAGCGACGTGTTCCCGCTCGGGACCTTCGATTGTGGCTCGAACACCTGCTACATGGAGGCAGACAAGTTCTACACGCAGTCGGTCGAGGCCGGCACCATTTTGGATGAGGGCCTTTTCAGCGGCGCTGGGGATGTCGGCGGTGGCATCTTGGGCTTGATCTTCTCTCTGCTCATCATTTGTGGCACCTTGTTCTGCTTGGTGAAGCTCTTGCACACCTTGGTCATGGGCACTGCGAAGAAGGTCATCATGCGGGCAACAAACATGAACGATTATGTTGCCATGCTCGTGGGTCTTGCAATCACCTTCGTCGTGCAGTCCAGCTCCGTTACCACGTCAACCTTGACTCCGCTTTGCGGCGTCGGCGTGTTGTCGGTGGAAAAGATGCTTCCCATGACCCTCGGTGCCAACATCGGAACCACCTTCACCAGCATGTTGGCCGCGTTGGCCGTCATGAAGCCAGACAGCTTGCAGATTGCCTTCGTCCACCTTTTCTTCAACATTACCGGAATCCTGATTTGGTTTCCGGTGCCATTCATGCGCCAATGGCCTATTAAGGCCGCCTGCCTGCTGGGCTTCTACGCTTCATACTGGCGCCTGGTGCCGCTCATCTACATTCTCGTGATGTTCGTGACAGTGCCAGGCCACTGCGCAGTCAGATCAGTCTGTCATGGCAACTGGCCTCTCAATCCTACGAACAAGTTGGGAAGTCTACCCCATAAATCTTGCACGGGGATGGCCCTTCCCCGCTACCCCATCAATTTTGCAAATCAGTACGGGCATAGCCTACTGATGGCAACATCTTACATGGGGTTACTAACTTGCCCGAACCCCAAAGCCTTATCATATGAACTGTTGTCAAACCCTTTTTAAGGGGGATGATGTAGGGGGCTATATAGGGGAGTATCATAGGGGTTGTTTAGGGGGATATTAGGAGCTTAGGCTATAGCTCATATCCCTACATTCACGCAAGCGCCCAGCAGATCGCAGAAGTGTTGTTCCTTTTGCAGGTGTGGCCCTGGCGATCTCCCTCCTTTACGGAGCCTTACCTAGAGTTTAGAACCTTCAATCTTTGGACAAATGCACGACCAATTATGTGCCATTTCTGAATTACCTCGAGTTTTTGTTAACTTAAATCTTTGGACCCGTACATGACCAACTATTTGCCAAAAGTTTTGTTAAACAATCCTAGATAACCTAAAAGGGAAACGTGTGGGATTTCGCAAAGGCCCATAGTCCCTACTACTTCAGGGTTCTAAAGGGGGCATTTGAGAAGGTTCCACGTATGAAGCACCCCAAGGCCGGAGCAGCGTTCCCTAAAGATCCCCAGCCCTAATCCTAATATGCCTAACACCCCCTGACCTAATTTAGGGTTTAGGATAAACTAGACTTAGGTGCAAAACTGCAAGCCGTAAACAAGACCGAAAACCTAAAACTTCATCCCGAAACCTTAAACCCCAATCCAGGAGCCAGTGTTGCTGGTGGCATTGTGGTCACGCTGCTAGCGCTGGGCGCCATAGCCGGCTTTGTGGCGTGGTGGTGGATGGGCGGCTGCTACAAGGTGCCTGATTATAGTACAGTAAAGTAGAGTAATTGTGAAATGTTATATAATAGTACATTACAGTATATTATAGGATAGTATAGTATTTATTTAGAGAGGTGTATCCTTTGTGGTTGCTGTTGGATGCTATATTTGATTTGCATATATATATATGTCTGAACGCAATATATGTTTGATGGTGCCTCAACCTATTCTTAGGCCGTTCTAAAGGGGTATACAAGCGGTAAATTGGCCTTTAGGGGCTAGCATTCTAGGGTTTAGGATTAGGGTGAATCAAAATAGGAGCCCCCTATCTAGTACCCAGGAGTGGAGTCTCCCATAAGCCGCAATCTCCCTTGAATTAGCATGGAGGCCCTCAGGGGGCCCTACAAACACCATTGTCCTTTCTGAAGGACCCATATGGGCTTCCATGTCAGTTTGGGGAGGGTATCTCTAGGGTCTGGTACGTATATGCCTTTTTTCGAAAGAAATGAGTCATTGTCAAAGCTCCAGAAACCCTCAACTTTGGGGGCCTGTGTCAGGCCTCCATGATACTGCGCCTATGTTTTGAGCGGCTGAAATACATGTGGGCATGGTTTTTGAAACTGCCCCAAAATTTGCTCCAAGGTTTTGGGCAGTAGAGTTTGGGCTCCAAAAATGCATCGCTTGGCAGAGAAGTACCCAGCCTTCATTTCACTCCCTCCACCCTCTTGCGTCGCCTTTTGTGCTTGAGGCTTGCAAGTAGGAGATGCAGAGAACCTAATCCCCTCCCTATTGTTGAACCCCCCCACCGGTAGCTCCGGAAACCCGCAAAGCCTAAATCCTGAGCCCCAACGGGCAAAGGCCTCCACCACTAATAGTGGTGAATGTAACAGGGATATATACTATATATATATATGTATATATATAGAAAGAGATGGAGAGAGAGAGAGAGAGAGGCACCTTCATATGATTGCCATTACCCCTTGTGCTCATTATGATTGGGTACCTGACTCGAAACCTTCAAACTTAGATCGGAAAAGATGGTCCCTATGGGAGAAACCGTCAGTATGACCAGGTAGTGTACTATACTTGCCTGTAATAGCCTTTCTAAATGACGCTGGTATTTCTGAATTCACCTATCTAGCCCAAACTCTACCACTACACATCCTTTCCATTTCATTCTCAGCTTTCTTTTTCATTTGATTCTCCAGTATTGGGGTACTACAACCCGGAACCTTACTCTAATCCTTAAACCCTAAACCTATACAACCCCTACATAACCCCATATAATCGCAGCCCTTTCCCATTGTTGGGGCTGAACCCTAAACGCTAAACCCTAAGCCCTGAAATAAACCCTCAAAGACTCAGCTGCAGGTCGTCTCGAAGGAGCTGCGTGAGGAGCGTGCCGCTGCGATGGCTGCGGAGGGCCGCTTGGCTTGGTTTATTACCGTCTAGGGTTTAGGGTTTGGGGTTTAGGGTTTAGGATCTAGTCTAGGGTTTAGGGTCTAGGGTTTAGGGTCTAGGGCTTAGGGTTTAGGGCGTAGGGTATTGCACTTGCTTAGCCATAGTTAGTACCTACTTGCAGTCACCTTGAGTTGCTGTAAGAAGAAACAGTAGTAGCCCCGTCACAAAAGCCCCAGAAGAAGAGTTGCTTACTGTCAAGGGATTAGAACTCGGACCC